CATCCATCCATCCATCCATCCATCCTTCAAAATAACCCGATGTGGCTGATTATATACCTACTGGAAAGAAAACAAGTCCAAATTTGACCCAGTATGACTGAAGCCATCTTGATAGCCATGGTACAGGTCCTGTTTGATTATCATCATGTTTTGTTGTATGCCCAGCTGTGCAAGCTTAGCTTAGGAACAGAATTCCATATGAAGTAAAATGATCTGTTGTTTCCAGATGTTCCATATGAAATATCTGAGACAGATTTAATAAATATGCTTGACTGATCTTGTTGCTTTTCACTAACCCAACCCCATCATGGGTTCTGCTTTTATTATACACGAGTATTACTGAATTAATATTGAAATTTGAGTAAGAAAACTGAAACATTGGGGGGAGGAGTTTAAAAATAACTCTTTTCTTTCTCACAGTTGAACCATCTGGTGACTGAAGAATTTGTAAGCTGTGGAATTCCAGCAGTGGGCATTTCGGTAAGGGCACTTTTTAATTTTGTATATTAGTAGGTTATTATGTATTTTCCAGAGAGAAAAAATATGCCAAGGAAAATCCTGCAATATGAATGCCAAGGGACTTAGACGTTATGGAAGACTAACAGACATTTACAGCACTTTGATCAGTAAGAGCCGCCTAGAGTGGACGAATAGTCCAGATAGGCGGGGTAATAAATAAATAAATAAATAAAAACAGAAAGATAAAACTTTTTCCCCATGGTATTCAGAATGCGATATTCTGAATACCAAGAACTAACAAATCCAGTTAATTGGTAATTTTTCATTTAATTTATTTAATCAGTGAAATTTTATTGTGTTTCTAAATTTAACTGCACCTTTGTACTGTTGCAGTTTGAGATGCTAATGTGTTAAGATAATTTACAGTTTAATAAATAGTTGATATCACTCAGTCTTAGATTTGAGACACAGATAACCAAGATGGCAGAAGGCCAGCTGAGCTGCCCTGAGGAAAGTTGAAGCAATGCTTAATCCAAACCCGTCCCAGCCTAGGGATGTTGGAAATTACTCAGGATTACCATTTTCCTGGCTGACATTTTGCTGGCATTATAACTGTGTCCCTCAGCTAAAGGAGGTTTGGATCTCGCATGGTTTCCTTTTATTCCATATTATATTAGTACATTTTTAAACCAAAACTGAATTATTTACTGCATTACAACCTTAATTTACAAGAGTTTCATAGCCCTTCAACTTTTGTCCTTGTATCTTGCAAAATTACTTTTTTTCATTATATCTACAGTATAAAAAGGTTGAGCACAGGTTTCCTATGGGGTTTGATTTAATTCAGTTTGATTTAATTCAGTTTGATTTAATTCAATTACCTTGTGTATTATACATAATCATGTTTATTTCTGTATTCTTTCTGTACAGAAATACAATTTCTGTATTCTTTGTTTTACTTGTGTTTTTAATCTTGCTCTTGTTGAGAGTTTTAACATTAATATTAAACAGTATTAAACAAACAAACAAATAGTTCTATAGATTTCTGGATGTGTGAATCTCTTTATGTTTAGGACAGATGCTTCAGACAATCTGGCAGAAAAAGTAGAGTTTCGTTTCCATATTCGGTGTGATATGAACAGTACATTTTGATTGGTGTTTCTGAACAGCTAGTGACTTTAATGGCCTATATAAACAGGAATGTTTGTCTTTGTCGTCTGTCTTATAGCCTTTTGGAACCTGGAAAACAGCATGCAAGGGTGTCAGCCAGCCTGGCATTGATGCAGTGAAAGATGTTTTAGAAGCAGGTTACGTTCCAGTTTTACACGGTGACTGTGTGCTCGACTCAGAAAGGCACTGCTGCATCTTATCTGGAGATACAATTGTTGAGGTCAGAGATGGAGAAAATTAATTCTAATTAGAGATGGGGGGGTATTCGTACATGAATACGAATATCCTCCACAGGTGGAAATAACGAAGGTCCAGCCCCATGAGCCTGACTGTCCACTCACCATTCCGCCATGGACATGTGCTCAACGGAGCCTTGCTACTGTGCTATTGTCCTCAGTAGATTAGCCACTCCTGGCAGGAGGAGGGATGACAAGCCTCTCTGCCAGATTGTGGAGTGGCTAATCCATTGCGTGATAGGAAGGTTCCGTCGAGCGCACGTCCGCGGCGGAATGGTGAGTGGACAGTCAGGCCCATGGGGCTGGACCTTCGTTATTTCCACCTGTGGGGGGGATATTTGTATATGAATTACTCCCCCCCCATCTCTAAGTGTGATACCTGGAAGTAATAGCAATGGATATTTATCCTTAGTGGTTCATTCATATATTTGTCATATGGTTTTCATGGCAACATTCCCTACTCTTTCTTTGACATAAGCTAAATTTTAGTTTGCTCCAAGTAATCTGCACAGACATTTCCTTCTGGATCTAGGGAAGAATGCTATAATTCCCATTCATATCTATTATTCTTTCGATAACTATATAGTTCGTAGGCTGACTTTAAACTAGCAGCAGCAGTATTTTTACTCCACACTACAGCCAGAAACGTTTACTGAGTAGCCTGAGTAGCCTTTGTGTAGTTAGGAAGATAGGAAGTGAGCCTCCAGAGAGCTGTTGTTGTATGGAAGATATACAATATGGATGAGCCAGTGGTCTGATCAAATGTTGCCAATATTACTTATTGGACTACAAATCCCAGAATCTCAGAGCCAGCATGAAGATGTTTTGCTGACACTTGGGTCATGATTTAAAGTAAGGCAATTTCAGATGTTTACCTTCACTCTTCTTCCTACAGGTTCTAGCTATGAAATTCTCTCCTAAGCGAGTTATTTTTCTCACAGATGTGAGTGGAATTTATAGCTGTCCACCCGGCACTGCAGGTACAAAATAAAGTGTTTGTATGAAGGAGAAATGTAATGTAATCTGTAGTAGTAGTAGTAGTAGTAGTAGTAGTAGTAGTAGTAGTAGTAGTAGTAGTAGTAGTAGTAACTTATCTGGCATAGTTCTTAATTGGACCACATTTTTTAAAAAATGGCAATGAAAGATGGTGGAGCCAGAGGAGGCCAATGTTTATTGGGGTTAAATCCTATAAGCAGAGGGAGACCCAGGGAGAGAGATTGCAATGATCACAGAAACAAGTGGAGAGGGACCCAGGAATGGAGATTACAACAGTCTCACATGCAGGTTCCCACTGCAGCAACAGCAAAATAAATAATAATAATAATAATAATAATAATAATAATATCATCAGTATGAGAAAATGCAGAGCAAAAGAAATTAGGCCCATGTGAAGATGATGCTCTAAAATTTTGGAAATAAATGTGGGAAAACCCAAACAGACATAACAAACGCCTTGTGGATTAAAGACATTTGTAAAGAAACATAAGGAAAACAAATGAATATTATAATAACAAATGAAATGATTAAGAGGCAAGTAAAGGCTCTGAAAAACTAGAGTGCACCTGGTCCAGTTGAGCTGAACAGATTCTGGTTAAATCATTTAACAAGTCTCCATCAACATATAGCAGTGCAATTTAACCACTTACTTCAAAATTCTACAACTGAAGACTGGATGACACATTTCTGATAATAAAAAATCATCAAAAGGTCAATGAACCCAGTAATTATTGACCAATTACATGCCTTCCAACAATGTTTAAGCTCCTCACAGGAGTACTTGCAAGATCAATAACTGAAAACTTCCTATACCCAACTGAACAGAAAGGGAACTTTAAAAAGTCAAGAGGCACAAAAGATTAGCTGCTTTTTGATAAAATGATACCGAATAATGCAAAAAGATGAAAAACAGACTAATTCCAAAGGTCCTCCTCCTCTTCAGGTGGAGTTGGGCAACAGAAATGACGACGAGGAGGGGGAGACCAAACCACTCCTGCCTTTGTATTTATTAAACAGATGTGATAAACAGCTGAATGCAGCCTCTGTCTTTCATAAACTAGTGCAGCATCTGGTTGTTGTGGGTTTTCTAGGCTGTTTGACCACGTTCTTAAGGTTTTTCTTCCAGTCTCTGTGGCCAGCATCTTCAGAAGTCAGGGGTCAGAACTCTGTCTGTGCTCTGTCATTTACCTATATGGAACTGTACTAAGGAGCCATGAGATACAATCTGCCCAGTCATATTATGAAGCTAGATAGAAAATTTGGATCTCAAGACTTCCAAGTCACTGTCTCAATTGTGATGATATTCACCTTTTCTCTGGGGACTATCACTGGGAAACTTGAAAGATACTAATTAAACTAGGGTTTCCCCTCATGCTGCAGTATTCATGTTCTTAAAATTTAGCCTTTGTATCTTGTGTTTTGTGATGTGTTTCAATGTGTTGCCAATTCTGAATCCTTTGTTTGTTCTGGCACAGGTGCTAGGCTTGTGGATTTCATTACTGTTCGCCCGGATGGAACTATGGATCCAGCCGTACTCACATCTGTGCGGCCACATGATACTACTGGAGGTGTATCCTTGAAATTACAAACTGCTGTAAATATAGTTTCTCATAGCCGTGGAGCCATTCCTGTTCTGATCTGCAAACTGGACAGTGAAGCAGCAGAGAAGGCTTGCTTAACCGGAGAACTGAAGGAGGATGAAGGCACAAAGTTTTCTTTCATAGAAGCATAAAGACATATCTGCAGGAGTTTTGAGATCAAGCCAAAAGAGACTTTCACCATGGAAATATAATCTGGATGATGCATTCTATTGTGTAGAGTACAGTGTGCTTTAACGTGAGGTTCTGGGGCTAGAGCTCTGATTTAATAGATAAAGGTTAGCCCTGAGGCTTTAAATTCTAAATACTTACAAAGAGGTGGCATTTTTCAGCTCTATTTCTGACAATAAAGTTGATCATCATTGTTAACATTGTCTTCTAATTATTTTGGGCAACCTTGCTAAATCCTCTCCTCAAAAAATCCTGCAATGAAATTATGGCTGAAATCCTATTGCTTTATATAGTAAATCACACTAGAGTAGGCCCATTTGAATCAGCAAAAATTGTGGGGGAGTTGACTCACCAAATCCGCAGTGATTCAGTGGCCCTACTTGAATGTGACTTACTACCCTACAGGTTTTCAGCTGCGGAGTACTTGCATAGTATCAGACGCTTCAGTCTTCAGAAATGATTTGTGACAAAAATTAGTGTGACAGCTTTAGTTACAATGGCCTTAGGAATCTAACACTTGTGTTCAGTCTCAGTTTAAAATCATTGACCCCTTCACTGATTTCTGTGAGTAGTTTTCCTTTCTACCCCGGGGGATATTTTAAAGTAGCTCCTTGTTGTGAAGCAGGAAATGGCCTATTTGGAAAACATTTTCAGTGTCAATAACGGATAGAATTTTGAATGCCAGAAACGGGCAGTGCCATTTCACAGGACATTGGAGCAACCAGTGCCAATTTCAGTTAGAAAATACCATTTTGTTTTTAAATGTTGTTTTTCCTTTTCCTTTTTCTGCCGTTTGTATTCTTTAATAGAATACAAATGGCAAAAAACCCTAATCTCATTGCACAGCAGTTGTGTGCATTTCCACATGGCCCAGAACTGAAGTGAGAAGTCTTTAATTGGTATCAGTCTAATATATGTAAGATCAGATCCAAAACGGTCCACCTTTTTAGATTCTTGCATGAATTAGATTGCCACCAGTTGCAGAGTTCCAGCTTCTCTTCTGAGTTGCACATAAAGCCACCTAACTCATGCACAATGAGGTTACAGTGGTGCCTCGCAAGACGCATGTCTTATGCAATGAAAAACTCACAAGACGAAGGCATTTTGAGATTTTTTTGGTGACTCGAAAGATGCATTTTTCTATGGCTGTATTTCGCAAGACGAATTTTTTCCTTTTTTGGTTTGTTTTAAATTGCACAACTGTTAGTGCTGCGCTTCGCAAGATGAAATTTTCGCAGTACCACACGACTTGTGGAACGAATTAATTTCATCTTGCGAGGCATCACTGTAATTTAAGCAACAAAGAATCAAAGCAGGGAACTTTAGTAGTGGCAATCTGACATTGCAGGTGACATCATATCACTTATGCAGGAGGACTTTGGTTATTATATTTTTGTCATTTATGTATGTGTGTAAAATAGACAGAAATCCTACTGAGAACTCACTCAAGTGTTTTTCACTGATCCATGGCTGACAATAAGAGATGATCATTTTGTCGCCATTTGTAAAATTGGGAGGGCCAAGCATGGAGTGGAGAAAATCCCTCTCAGCAGTTATGTGATACTGTTATGCAGTCATATGTGTCAATAGGATTCTAGTTTTATATTTTTAATACTTCAGCTACGAATTGCTCAAATAATTTCTTACTCATATAAAATTGTGTGGCCACATACAGGGGAACACAGTTACCCAGGTCTTTTGCAGCATTGCTCAGCTTAGTCAACACCTATATGTTGACACAGGAGAGGGTGTAGCTGGAGTGTGTCTTCTCAATTCCCTTTACACCCAAGAGGGGCACTGTGAATTGATCTTGGAGAGCCAGTTTCCGTCTTCCCCCAGATCAGATGACAAAGCTGGAAATGGCCAGAAGTTCACTTCCAAGTGTTGCTACTGTTGCTGTTTAATGCTTATGTGGATGTTTTGGAACAATTGTGCAGAAAGCACCATTCCTTCTGTGTCCTATATTTCTACATACATTTGTTTCCTGTTTTTGCTGCCTTCTCTAATTGCAGAGAACGTAGGGGGGGGGCTGATATAATCAGGAAAGTGCGGCTAAAAGCATTACAGATTTTTGATAAGAACTTGTGCAAAGTGGATGAGCAATGCTGGATTGAGTGTCTGACCTGCTAAGCTGCTTCTGGTGTACTCTTATTGCAGGAACCTTGTGACATTTCATTTTGGTCTCAATATCAACGTGTGTCTTTCCCGTAATACACATGTCATTTCTCCTCCTAGAATTGCAGGCTAGCAATTTCTTTTTTTCTTGACAGATGTTGGATTCGCAGTTGAAATACAAACATAAACAGACTCAAAGACTGCGAGAATTAAAAAGGAGCAAGGCAAGTCTCAGAGCAAAATAACAACACACTAGCTGTTGAAATGTTGAATAGCTTTAAGAAAGTACTAGCTTTTCCACTAGTGACTCTAGAGAGGTTGGGTGTGAAGTGGTGACAGATGCGGTGTGAACTACATTGGTTCTTCTTCCCATTTTCTTAACGAGTTTGCGTAGATGGCTGTTAGATTAGACACATTCTAAATGAAGTTGTACAAGCACTGAATTTAGCTGTGTGAGAAGTGTGGTGCTTTGCCAATTCAGCAGCCCAGAGGGCAGAGGCCAAGCAAGAGTGATCTCATACAGCTCAACTATTTATAGCTGATCACTGATATTGCAGCTGATTATACAGAAGGTGACAGAACTCAACTAGGTGTTAGAACAGTTTTCAGTTAAAGACCAAAGGAGCTCTTTCTTACAGGGAATGTCACTTGTGGATTAAATTCTCTTTGAAGATACTGCCCTACTGTGGACTCTATTTTACTGCACCCCTTTCTGCAAACAGAAGACTATCTTAGGGAATGAAGAGTAATTCTTAGAAATGCTAAGTCTAAATGGGTTGATTTTGCTTTGTATTTTATCAATATATTAATTTAGGTTGACCTTGACTTACGTCACTACTTCCACCCGTAAAGTAATCTGATATTTTTATGTTGCTCTTGGAACCCAATAGTGCCTCACAGGGGAGCCTTACTATTAGGAAATGTGAGATCTCCGCTTGTAGAAACACTTTTCAGGGTGTTATAGAAGGGCACCAAATGGTGGATTGTTCATTATTATTATTGCATTGTTGCATTTGAAATTGTATTTTTTACCACCAGTGATGAGGAGAGGTGCTTATGGGATCTCATGTGTAAAATACCTTGTTGACTTTGGGCATTGTGCACCTTACCTTGATGAACTTGGTCTGGCACTTGCTCTTCTGCCTCATATAGCAAAAACATGGGGCTGTCTTTAGTACTTGGAAACTCTGAATAAAGAGAAATTGGTGTATTCAGATAATTTGTAGTAGCATACATACTGTCAGCACGGTCAATTGATACCATCAATAAGTTACTGTGAAGAAGCAAGGACCTCTTTAAGTTGCACTGCCCAACTAGAGATAAAGTCAAGTTCCTCATTCAATGAGAGGAACAGTGTTTATATCCAAAAATACAGTTTTATACCATAGTGGTTAGATCAAAGGTGTAGTTTTATACCATCATCACATATGACTCAGACTGTACCACCCTTTCAGTCAGGTTTTTTAATCATGCATGTCTTTCAGCACAAAAAAGAGTCTTTATGCCAATTTGTTAACACTCAAATTCCAATTATTTGGTGTGCTTCAGAACTAGTGGATCATGTAAACTGTGGTAGGCAACCATGGCTGCCCAGATGTTTTGGAACTGGACTTCTCATAATCCTTCACCATTGCTAGGTTGGCTAGGGCTGGAGAGAGTTGTAGATCAAAAATATCTGGAGAGGCACAGTTTCTCTCCCTTGACAGAAACATACTGAGGCTTTAGTGCTATCCAGGAGGTGAGGTGCTTGGCCAAGAGATTATGTTGCCATCTGAACACGAGACTTATATCTCCCATGCTAATTATCTCAACTGACAGCAATGTGCTAAGTGTACTAGTGTGACCTCTGCCATCAATTGAAATACTAATGAATAAATAGTGATCCAAAAGTTCATAAAATAGTTACATTCTCTAACACAACCACTATGAATCCATAAGGAGTCAACATACATGTTGTTTGTCATGTGTTATCTATTGCAGAGAATGTTGGAAATCTTGTGATAACATTCATGTATAACAGTTTTGGGCAACTCTTGCAAATATCTGTAAATACACTCATGAATAGCGGCAGTCCCATGTACTGAAGCATTTATTTGTCCATGACTGAAAAGTTGCTCTTACCTGCTGTCAAATTGCCTCTGACTTATGGTGACCCTGTGAATGAGCTATCTCCAGAATGTCTTGTTCTCAACAGCCCTGCTTCACTCTTGTAAACTCAAGCTTATGGTTCCTTTATGGAGTCAATTCATATTGTACTTGATCTTACTCTTTTCCTGCTCCCTTCAAACTTCCAACATTACCTGTATTGTCTTTTCCAGAGAATCTTGCCAACCTCAGTTTTGTCCTTTTTGCCTCCAGAGAGAGTTCAGGCTTGATTTGCTCTAGGAGTCACATGTTCATTTTTCCAGCAGTCCAGATTAACCACAAAACTCTTATCCAGCACCATATTTCAAATGAATCATCATCCCCCCCACCCGGTCAGTCTTCTTTCCTGCCCAGCTTTCATGTTCATACACAGTGATTGGGTATACAGTAGTGTCGATGACCCAGCAAATGAAAGGGGGAAAGATGGGGAAATGATGAAAGTGTGTCAGAAAGAGAAATATTGGTCAGCCGGCCCACGTTCGTCTCCAGTCCTTCACACTGCTAGCATATAGCCACTGGCAGATGAAACCTAGAGGAAATGCAACCCTTGGCAGAAAAACACCCCCCTCTTGTGATGCCTGATTGTATTTATATGACTTGGTAGGTACATGGTGGGCGGGGTGAGTGAGGAGCACAGAAGATTAGTAAGTATGATTCTGATTGGCTGAGAGAGAAGCTAAGGGAATGGGGTGTTGGGGAAGTGGAGATGTATGTTGTTAGAAGATGGCAGAGGGGGTGTTTCTGGAGTCTGGGTTTTGAAAGAGAAGTTGGAGAGATCAATCTGAGGTAAATTGAAGAGGGAAGAGTTAATAAAGTCAAGGATTGTGCTGAATTAATTTGAAAGTCAAAGAATAAACATTCTTTTAACACTGTTATTTTAATAAAACATTGTTTGTTCTATTCAAGCTGAGTGGTGCTGAGTTCAGTACCTCCAGACTGGCTATGTGAATGGTGTTAAAAAAAACCCCAGAGGAAACGGTCAAATACAAACACATAGAGATGAGCTAAAGACTGGTTGCAGAGGAAGAGAATAAATCAGTGATGAACATTAAAGAAGATATGTTTATTCCTGTGGTGATTTGAAGAGTGCATTACCTAAAGAGCCTAATGACAAGGCAAAGGGAGAGTTGACATTGGTATCAGAGATATGACAACTCCCCTCTGTTTGGTGGCCTATATGCCACCGAAGGGACATGGGTAACTCTGCACATCCCATCAGACCTAGCCGGCACAATCAGTGGTGGTGGCTGATGACATTATAGCAGTCTGGAGGGCTGCACTTTTCCATCTCTGCTATGAACAAAGGTGTAGAAGGGCCAAGCAAACCCAATAAATATAAAGGATGAAATCCAAAGTTAGTTATATTTAGATCTGGTTGTGTTTCAGTTAAGTTCCATTCACTTCAAGGGGTCTGCATTAAGTTCAGACTGGATAAAACATGCAAATAATAGAATTGTATACTGTAAATTATAACAAAATTAAAATCCTGACTTTAGATCAATTGAGCAGTTGCATTCTGTACAGGGAATGTCAATCCCTGCCTCTCACAAAGTATAAACTGCTATACCCACCTCATCCCCCAAAGCGTAGGAACCTATTTCTGCAATTTCTGGGGGTGGCATGTGCAAATATTTAATCTGCCCGTACTCCTTTTATCTCCCAGTCATAAGTTCATTTTTAAAATATAGGGTTTTTAAAGGTTTTAGAAAATAATGCAGTAAATAACATGAATTATTCTAATTGTAAGTCTTTTTAAAAAAACCTACAATTTACAAGGTGTTGATACTCGGCTGAATGATTAACAGTTCCCCAGGGAGATCATAGCTGTCCATTCAGATAAAACTGGCTGCTCACAATTTCTAAAATGTGGGAAGCTTTTTCCTTTGCATACAAGCACTGTTGTGCCTCACGTGGTAATTGTTTCAAGGTTTTACAAGAGCCAGGGTTTGAAAGCTACATTTCGAAGAGGAAATCAGATCAGCAGGGGAAAAAAGCACTTCAAATTGATTAATGAAATGCCAAAGACTTAAAGTTAAGCTCAGATTTGTACAGCACAATCTCTGGCATGTACTGGAATAATAATGGCTAAAGGCAGATGCCGTAACTTTCCAGTTTAAGAAAACATTTGCATTTATTACAGGCCAACAGCTCTATGATTAACTTTCACCTATGAAAGGGAGAGGCAAGAGAAGGAAAAGGAGAGGGAGAGGGAGTAAGTGAGACGGACTGAGCGAGAAGCAATCAGAAGGCTCTGACTGACCTCGCTCTAAGTTACCTCTTCAGTTGCTGACTACTGGCTATAACAGAGATCCTTGTGACAAGAGGCAGAGAAGGAGACGTTAATAAGAACACAGAAGACGAGTAACACCACAGACAGGTGAGCTGTCAATTCCTCAGACCCATTAGCAACTTGCTGTGGATTGTCACTGCATGACAGAATCATCTTTTTGCTGATAAACTTCACTGGCTAGCTGGATGACCAGCTAGCAGGGATACATAACATTTTAGATAGAAGCAGTGTATAGATTCCAAAATAGCTTCTTGTGCCTGTAGTGGAGTCTGCAAAGGAAGGTTCTTTCTGGATGGGCACTTTGCTCACATATCTTGGGATAATTGTGTGAATCTTTGATCCAATCGATCGATTGATCCTGTTGTGCTAAGGGGAAGGTCTCTTGTTGTTTCTTTTTAAAAAGGAAGTACAAACCACAGGGGTAGCAGAACATGGTCTGGATTTTTCTAACACTTCCTTAATTTTCTCAAATATTAGCTCTTATTAGTTGATACTACAAAATTGGCCAATGCAGTACCTGAAATTAGTTGAAAGCAACTTTCGTTTCAAGGAACATGGCCCATACAGAGTGTTTTTTTCAAGTGCAGATGCCTAATGAATTTGAACATTAGAAACTGTGAAATGGAGATTTGTCGAAAAGCATGAAAGGGTTTTCTTACAAATGTTACATTACATAGTATCCATTACTGTTGTATTGTATGAAGTCAAGTGCATTGACACATACGTTGTGAGACATTCCCAGGGTAAGTGGGTAACAGACATCATTGTTCATTTCCAAGAATATCGAAAAAGTTGTATCCTCAGGCTTATTTTCAGGGGAGGGCTGTATTTTCATTTCTAAAAGCTGTGATTAACTCCATGTGTTCCAGGCAGCATTGCACAGTAAATGTTGAGAACACCCTCTGTTAATTTTAGCTGAAGCAAGACGCCAACTGACGAAGCGCGTTGACCATATAAGGTTGTACGGCACAGTGTCACAGAGCCGATTTTCTGTCTCAACATTGGGGTGCACTAAAACTTTATTCTCTACCAGTTTTCTAATGAAGGAAAATATGAGAGGTGCATCTAGTGGGCTTTCCAGCTTCCTGCTGAGGTGATGGGACAGAGTAATTCTTCTGCCTCTGTTGTATCTCTATAGTAAGGAAGTAACAGGAGGACCCAGTAACTGGTAGTAAAGCTTGTTCCAGCAGGCACACAGGGAGAGTGCAAGTTGTAAGATCAGGTCATTCCGGAAAGAAGTGTTAAGGCAAACCATGCCCCTTCTAAATCACACATCAAGTTGACAAATCATAGTGGTCAGTCATTTAAATCAACTTTAAATGAGGGAATAGCAGAGATTCTGTGAGTCACGGGGAAGGAAGGAGCTAATTTATAGCTTGGAAGCCACATGTTGCTGCGTTAGGTGTTTGTGGAGTTAGATTTTAATCCCTTCCTCCTGACAATCAGAGGGCAGACATATGCAGATACAAGATAAGCAGCATAAGTCTACCAATATGACAGCCATTGCTTGTGAGACAAGAGGAGCCACTGTGCAAGAAGCATACTAAATTTCTAGAATGCTTTATAAAAGCAAATCTTGTGCCTGATCTCTAAGCTGAGTGTTGGCCACCTGTTTCTAGAAGGGCTTCTCAATGTCTGTTGTAGTCCATGTCATTTTTACTTTTATATTTAGAAACTATATATTAATTTAAAATATATAGGCATTTGTCATTTGTGGCTTGGAGCTTTCCATATGGAAATTATTTTCTTCTAGAATGTTAGTTCATTGTGCATAGTCCATTTTGGCTCTTAATCTTTGGATCATGGCCATATGTGGGAGTTTCATCTTAATATATTATGCTTTTGTGAGGTATACAGGACCTGATTACTTCCTTTACTGTGCAACTAGAATTTGAGCAAAATCTGCTAGCTAATCTCGCATCAAAGTGTGTTGAATAATAGGGTCTGCAGGTTTCACTTTCTGCTTTCTATCAAGATTCCTGGACCTGAACTGGCAACTCTGGACTGATTCACATATACTTTTCAAAGATGTATTAGAACTTGTACACAGCAATTTGCCCTCTGATATGACCACGTGAAAACTGAAAACATGTCACATCTGACAAAATATGTTCATGCAGATTCCTCTGAAAAAACAAACTGATTTTCCCCCTTCAGGGATGTACATGTGAAAAAGAATAGTAGCATTTTGCTGATCATTTTTTTCCCTTGATCAATTAAAATATTTCCATCAGTTACGTTCAAAATTTATTAAGTTTCACTTATTCCTATGTTAATATGTTTGGCTAGCCAATTAAAATAAATACAATAAATTAAATAAGGCTGCAACCTCTGCACATATACCTAAGAGAAACTGTGCTGAAGACAGTGGGACCTTCTTATGAGTAATCAGTTTATAGGATTGTGCTGCAAAATCGATTGACAACCGCAATATGGTCTATAGTATATTAAATATCTACCACTTTCTTCTTCTTCTTCAATATATTATTTTCTGAACGTATAACTTATAAATATATAAATGCGACATCCTATATATGTATGTATGTATGTATATCTAAAAACAATACATATTATAACGCTTAGCCTACAAGCAGTCTTATTTAGTAATACATTTCTTTCAGCAAGATCTTTTCCATATTATTCATTTACTTTCTATTTATTACAAAAACTTTTATTTTCCTCCATTCATAGAACAGGTTCCAGCTTTGGTAATACAGTAAATTGATTTTTCTTGTCCTTTTAATCTCTTTGTTAGTCTGTCCATTTCTTCACATTCTAATATTTTTTTTTGATAATCAAGTTGTCCTTTGGCGGGTTTCCCTCTTTCCATACCTGTGCCCATACTAATCTAGCTGCTGTCAGAACATGTGATAATAGATAATAACATTGCATGTTTATATTATTTGGTATTAATCCCAACAAGAACATTTCTGGTTTAAATTCTGTTTCTTGCTTAGATATTTGCTTAATACATATATGAATTTTGATCCAATATTTTCTTGCTATGTCACATGCCGACCATGCGTAATAAGTTCCTTCCGGATTTTTGCATTTCCAAAATTTGTGCGAAATATTGGCAGAGATTTTTGCAAATCTGGATATAGGGAGATGCCATCTATAAAACATTTTGTATAGATTTTCTTTATAAGAAGTTGCTAATGTTAGTTTAAGATTTTTAGTCCATATTTGTTGCCATTTTTTCTAGCTCTGTATTATATCCAAATTTTTTTGACCATTTTAACATTGTTTCCTTAACCTCTTCATCTTGTGTGTCCCATTGCAATAAAAATTTATATACTTTTTGTATTTGTTATTTTTCTGTAATAAGTAATATTCTATCAAATAATGTATGCTCTTTCTGATAATCCCTGTTAAAAGATAAATATGTGCTTTATTACATTTGTGGATTCATGAACATCTAATGTTGGGAATTTTGCATTAAACCTGTTTCAAAGAACTGCAAACTTCCTTTGAAGGTTTAAATGCGTGTATCTTCTGTGGTAAGTGGTTTACAAAGGGGATAGCCTGTTATAGAAAAAACAACAACAACAGCAGAATATTGTTGCATGTTAAAGGCTAAAAAAATCAACTTCTCTTAGTGCAATGCTAAGCTTCAATGTACCGTACATATTAGGGTGTTAATTAGGTGTGCTAATTTATTATAGCAAAGGTTTTTTTGGACTAGTGGAGTTTAGCCCACAAATATTCATACTGGATCACTTAATTGGGAGAAAGGCTGGATACGAATGAAAATATATGCATGTATGCATACATTCATGCATACACACATACTAGTTAAAATCATTAGCCTTGGGGACTCTGCTATGTGTATGAAATGGATGCAGTTCGCACCTTTCTGACATCATTAATTGATGCATATTAAGAAGAAGGAATATTCCTTACAGTACACCCCTGTTGTTTAAAATTAGTTTGGGGGAATGGCCCTCAAATTCTATATTCCAAACGTGCCAGAAAATATATATATATTCAATCATTCATGGGTGCTTGCTTCTTGTAAAAGCCGCAATATAGCCAAAGTGCTATTTGCCATGATGTCCAGCAGCCATCAAGGGCAGTTGTATCATTGCAAGTGGCACATACTGAATTCTTAGTTCATTAACTTTCAGCTCAGTGGTTCACAAATTTGGGTCCCCAAATGTTCCTGGACTTCTACTTCCAGAAATCCTGTCCAACACAGCAAGTGGTGAAGACTTCTGGGAGTTTTAGTCCAAATTTGAGAACCACTGTTTTAGCACACCTTTTCTACACTTATTCTCAAACTGAATATTGGCACATGCAAATTCAGTGGATGTAATGCAACTGCCTCTGCTGATGACACTGTCAGTTACAAGTTATAGCAGACAGTAGCTGCCATGTTTGGGGGAGACAAAGAGTCTTCAGGATGAATGTATATGTTTAAAGAAAATGCTTTTCCACCTTATTTCCTTCCTAGCACAAATCGTGCACATTTGAATTCATTCAGCTGTGTATTGTGCCTATGGTGTACATATTCTACGGAATGGCTTTTTGAGGCCCAAAAAGTCTCAAGTCCCATGAATGGCTTTTCATAAACATTTTTAAAGATCCAATTAAAGTCTGAATAGTTTACACTGAAGTTTTCAGGCATCACTTTCCAGATTGTGGTCACCATCTGCTAGGTATGGATTGTGATCATTATCTCTCATTACCACAAAAGTGCATGTCTGTAGGTCAGTTGGATTGAAAGCTCATTGATTGAAATCTAGATCTTGATCCTCATCATATTAACCAGGCTGAGAGGCAAAGACCCTTGAAATATTGTGATGTAGTTGGTAAACAATTGTACTTTCCTACAGCCTGCTGGAAAGGTTATGACTTTTCATAAAGACATATTGAGCACAAGGGAAGACTCTGTACATGACGTGCAAAGTCTCCGTATTGGAAAAAAATGGACGATGCGGTCACGTGTAGTACCCGTACTCCAAGAGCGCTATTAAATTTAATCCTGAGATGACAGAGGACGATAGGACCGCGACATGCGCCAGTTGTTTCCTCCCGATCCTTTTTCACTGACTCTGGAAAAATGTGTTTGGTCACATGAAAGAAAT